CCTTAACCGAAAAGCTATTTCCAACTGATAACCACTCGTAAATGAAAGAATAGTTCTCTCCAAGAGAGTCTCACTGGGGATACAAACCACTTGAAAGGGCAGGCCCATGTCCAGCAGTAGAAGGCCAACATAAGAGGAACTCAATGGCACCTTTGGAGGAGCTTTGTCACATAATATTTTGTCAGGGCATCTATTTTCCTTACAGGTCCTTTGCATACATATTATGGCTTCTTCTGGTTTTGTGTTTTCTGATTTTTTATTTCTGTATTATTTTATTATTATTCTTTGGATGCCTGTTGGTCTTCAAAGGAGAGATAGAAAGGGTATGGATTAGGATAGGAGGGAAGGTAGGAAGGACCTCAGACAAATTGGGGAGGAGAAACCATAACAAGAATATAATATGTGAAAAAAAAATCTATTTTCAATAGAAGAAAAGAAATTAAAAAGTGACTGGCTAATACATTCTCTTTCTGGTAATAAATAAATTATCAGAGAATGTAACAATGTAACAGATATGCTCTAAAAACAAAGATGAAGGTATTTTACAAACCAAAACCAGTATTTATTTATTAGCCTTCTTTCAACAGTAAATATTCCATTTTTAAGAATAAAAATCAATTATTCTCTAATTACCATGTTCAAGTTATACATATACAATATACACTAAAGAATTTAATGTCAGCATCAAGTTGAGATGTCTATGAGAAAATGAATACAAGCGAAGTTGTCAAAGGAAGACTGAAACAGAATGTTCAAGTTATAGAAGTACTTTAAATATATTCCATTAGAATGAAGTTAACATGGGTTTCTAGATGCTGAAATTCTATTAAAATGACACAAGAGTACAATCTATCAAAAACAAGAACAGGAGGGAGCTATCAGAGCCAAAATATCTCAACTTCTTGCTTGAGTCAGAAAGAAGATAAAAGAATGACTGATGAAACAGCCAAGAAAGCATAATCTACTGCTGCCTGGAAAAGAACAAGGCAAGAAGAAGCCAGGTGAAGCTACACGATCATTAACTCCAGGTTCACAAGTTTGAACCATATGTCTTGGAATACTAAAACCAACATATTCACAGTCAACTTTTCACTTATTCTTATACAACATGGAAAAAAGACACAAAGAAAACAGTAATAGTTGAGGGGTGTGTGGCTACTTTAGAAAAAGAAAATCATCTATGTGGAAAAAGAAATATCAATGAATAAAGAAAGTTCTTAGCTACTGGAGACACACTGCTTCAAAAAACCCAATACAAAATGAAAGAGATTCCAGAAGCACTTTCTTAGAACACATCCCAGACATGGAACTGGAGATACAGTGCAGCAGATAAGGTGCTTCCTGGCAAGCATGAGGCCTATGCTGTACCTGAAGATGTCCAGCATCTAGGTAAAAATCAACAACAACACAAAAATAAAATAAATAAATAAATAAATAAATAAAAACAGACACAGCAGCTTGCCTGTATCCCCAGTGCTGGGGATGCAGAAAAAAGATTATTGCTGCCATGGGAAGGTACTGTATTCTGTCCAATCAGTGACCTCCAGACCAAATCAGAAATTCTGTGTCAAAATTTAAGATAGAGAAGCCTTTGAGAAATACACCTAATATCAATCTCTGACCTACACACACACACACACACACACACACACACACACACACACACACAGAGCAAACAGCAGACAGGATTAAGAGTTCAAGTCCATTCTACTCCATCAAGGAACATCTCTTCCTTAAAAATGACAGAGACATGAAAAACATTTGGGAAAACAGAAGTTAGATAATTTCTTACCAGGCAAGAAACACAGGGGAAAAGAAACACGAAGAAAATAAAGAAGAGAAAATCATCAAACGAGTAACAAAATAGGACTTCCCAGAGCCATGCTTACACTGTTAAGTCCTCTGGCTCTGCCAATTTTTCTGTTATAGTTGACATTAAATATGTCCCTTTCAAAATAATAATAGCAATAATAATAAAGTAAAAGGCAATGGGCTATTAAATATTTATACCCCACAGTAAACACCTCTCCAGGCAAGTAGAAGAACATACCTTCTGCCAATCATCATTGACTCCATTTTGCTAGGATCAAACTATTCCTGGTCCAGTCAATATAGTCAGAGGAAGGCCCTATTGTAAATGGGCTAGACATCAGCTTGTCATTTAGACTATAAGGCTGTCATCCACCAAGGACAACTTTTAAAGAGATATCCTATTAGCAGGCAATTATACAAGAGTTACAGGAAAGTATGTGTTGATGTTCACTAAAAACTGTGGGGCAAAATACAAACATTTTCAAAGTGTAAGATTTTGAAAGGATCTGCCATTTGGAAGGCCTTAAAGAAACATTTTACTGAAATGGGGATATTGGGAAGAAAACTCAGATCTAGAAAGAAACAGCACCAAATCAGTAGAGGAAAGAAAATATATTGATCCTTAGATATGATTTTATACAAAAATGATGCTAATCTGTATCTTTTAATATGTTTTAATAAAAAACTTACAATCATAAATTACTGGTCTAAGGAAAGAAAGGTTACACTATATTTAACTAAAAAAGAATCACAGTTACACTTCAGTACTAGAATACAGAAGACAAGTCATAAATCCAAGTATTTAAAAATGGCTTCAGATACTATATTAGACTTATAGCTACCTAACAACTGAAGAGATATTATGGATTGCTATATTATGGATTGCTACAAAACAGGAAACTTGTAATCCAAACCTCATCAAGTTTATGATTCTAAGACTTTGCTACTTAATCAAACTGAATTATTTGCAAAATGGAGCTAACCCTAGACAAAATAAGCTCTCATGGTTGAAGGGAAAAAATCTATAAAAACAAAAGACAGAAGCAACACAAGAGTGTAACCTGTTAGGAATAAACAATTTAAACAAAAGTAAGCCTGGTGCTTCAATACTACATTAACTTTGAGAAGCTTAAAGTGAAGTTCTTCTGCCTAGCACAAGTTGAGACAAACTTTTGAAAATTAGAGCCTTTCTAAAGTTAGTTTTTTTTTTTTTAAACCATAATTACTCAAGTATTCATTAGGATATATGAGACCTCTACCAGAATCTTTGTACCAGGGTTTTGCAAATGGATTTAACTTTAAAAGCTTAGCTATACAATTTCTTTCATTAAAGTAATATATTTCTGATATTGACGCCTTTAAAATATCCTATAGTAAAAATTAATATTTTTACACAGGAAAAGAAGGAACTATTTAGTCCCAGACAACTTGATAACATCTCTTTCAACTATAGTTATAATTACCATGTATGAAATTCCAAAGCAGAAGTTGTCAAGATTTAACATTAGCATTAATTTATGTCATAATTGACGGTTACTATCAAGATAATGGCAAAGCATCCATTTCTCCAAAGACAGCATGGAGAGAAAGGGGATTTCGTCTTAATTACTACTAATCTGTTCACTTTTAATTAAACTGATTAGTAATTTATTATCAATCCCTTTCCTGGATGGCTGTTATTATCACAGGATTTCTTCAAAGTTACCACATTTGTGATTTTTAAGCAACCCAATTATTTTTAGTGCAAGATCCACCATTTTGCAATATTGATTTATACTGGAATGTTAATATCCAGTTTCAGTGTATTCTGAAAAGTAAATGTGAAAATCTACATTCTAGTTTTACATCTCCAAGTGAACAATGTTAGCTGCACCATTCTGGAGAGACATCTATTGAGAGCAAAAGTCTTTTCCTTTGTCCTTGTGTCCTTGTTTGGCAATCATAGTAGTTACAATGAGCATGCAGTTTCTGCAGAGTTTCCACTTGATATGCTGTCGAACTAAATATCAAGCTGCAAAACAACAGTTCCCTGTGCTTCTTTGTAAGATAAAAAGTTCTGACATACAAAATAGAAACTGTTTCAATTAAACTACTTCAAATTTACTTAGGCATCTTGTTGTTTTCTTAATCAAAACTGTTAATCAATATAGAGCTTTGATTAATATCATATATTTGGGATTAGGAATTTTCATTACAAAACTTGGGAAAGGGCTGAACTTCTCAACAGAGTGAAGAAATGTAATGGTACAGGAAAAAAAGGAACCATTTTTTCTTTCTCTTGTAAAAATATTGAGAAATACAGTGTACACACTGACTTAAGTTCCCCATCAGTATGCCTTACATGAACTGATGATGTATAGTAGTTGAACAAACATTTGTATTTAGGAAGAATACTGAACCACTCTCAAGTAATTGGTTATCCATGAGAATGCAATAGTGATTGCTCAACATAATCTCCTTCAGCATTCACTAAGTGTAGTATCAACTAGATAGATAAGCTCACATTTTTCTCCAAAATATTTTGTACTAAAACTATTCATGAATGAATGATGGACAACAAAAAACATCAGCCATGTTCTTTGCCTGTTTTTTGTCTTACTCCTGCAACTAGGAAGTGTAATCCAATAAAGAAATAGGATTCATTCATCTATTTGTTTAGCAGGGATTCAAAATGAAATCTGTTCTAAGAAAAAAAAAAAAAAAAAGGTTCAATGCTTTTGTTTTTAATACCCTAAAGAAAAAGAAGTATTATTTGACAATTGGGCTGGGGAGATGGCTACACAGTTAAAAATGCTGGTAACTGACAACAATATGGAAGTTTTCAACCATCTATAACTCTAGTTTCGGGAAATCTAATTCTGTTTTCTGTCCTCTGTAGGTACCAGGTATGCACATGGAATACATGCATATATGCAGGCAAAACACACATACACATAAAATAAAAAGAATTGAAAAATATCATATGACAAGCTTAAACACACACATATATACCCAAATTCTTATTTTTCCACAATCTAATATAAAGATATACTAACATTTTTGTTGTTGTTGTTACCTTCTCACCAAAAGATAAAATATCCTTTCAAAGAATTAGCTGGGCTATAAACAGTTGCAAAGTATTTAATACTAAAAAACTCAATAAATGAAAGTTACAAGTTCAAAAAAGGCTAGTAGGTCACTCTGCATACCTTAACGAGTTTCAATAGTTCATAGAGATCTTCAACTTCATCACCTTCACATGAGGTATATATTCTTCCTGTCACCAAGCTCCTTCCTTTTATGGTTCTGCGGTATAGGGGAAGAGCCATCGCTTCTGCATACAGGTCAATGGCATGGTGACCCACTGTCTGATACATGTAGCTATCCAGCTCATCTGACTCCACTGTAAGAGTTAAACAGAAATAATTAGTAATACAAAGCAAACACAAATAAACTTTAAAAAGTAACTTTTACCACTTGCAGAGTAACACCAAGCTTAAAAACTTAGCATACCTCCCTGCAATTATAAGTAAAATATTATATAAGCTTTTGCCCATAGCTAAATTTAGTTAATTTCAGCTCTAATCATCTGTGTTTCTAATTATTAACAGGATTACATTTATACTTTTAATATTATGTGCAACACTTAAAGATAAGAGTAATGTATCCAATAAATTTTTAATTAGTTTTTCAGTTAGAAATTATATTACATAAATTTACTCAGATCATTCAGGTTATTCAAAAATCACTTAGACATTTAATAAAAACTTTTCCTAAATAAATATCTGCTGAGTAAATGATACATATTTGGCAAAAAAATAAATAGATATGCTTGGTATGTTTTACAATCAATACATCAACAAAATATATACAATGTAAATCAAATATTTGTTATAGCAGTTACCAATATATTGGGAAACATGATAATTAAAACAAATCCATGCTATAATCACCAGTTGTCTCAAGAACACACATATCATTACGGGCAAAGCATTTACTACAGCATTATTTGTAATAGAGTAAGAGCTATATTATAGTCATACAATAAAATGATATGCAGTCTTGGATGCACTTTCTAAACTGTACTCTCCAGACTACAAATCTCATAAGATGTTAATATTTAAAATGGGAGAAAGGATTATACATCAAATATGTTCTAAAAGTATGTAGCTAAATAAGTCTAAGTAGATGAGTATGTTGAAAGTTTTCATAGACTAACAAACATACTTTCAGTTCCTCCAATAAGAAGACTGAGTATGAAATTCTCAAAGTGAGTCCCATGCCATTTACATTTCATACACAGAAGACTGAGGAAAAGATATTGAGATGAATAGTTAGTGCCACTGAAACTGTTCACAATATGTTAAGTTACAAAATAACAGACTACATATGTACATGTATGTTTTCAAATGTGGAAACAGTCTATTCAGTAATCAGTATTATCATCATATGCCATCTCAGTTTGGCTTATCAGATGTCTGAGCCCCACAGCTGCCTGGTTTCCTACAAAACAATACTCATACATTATTGTAAGTCTACTCCTCACCCCAGTATGAAACAGAGATTTAGTCAAATCACTCTAAAACTTTTCACTTTTCCATCCAACCAAGTTAGAGTGAATCTTTAATGTATTTTTACTAAAGGATATGATTCAAATCGATTTATCCCACGAAAGGAGCTTCATAGCAAGAAACATCCTGAAATCAGTACAACTACTAAACATTGTAATGGCTTCAAAACCCAATATATGTTTGTTAGGGCTCCACAAAGTCCTTACCACAACAACCTACACAGCAGCAACTGGTGTGAGAGCAAACAAAACCAAAGGCTCCCCGTTGCCTAAAGCACTTCAATTAACATACCACAAAGGCTCCTACTACAGACTTCAAGAGATGCTCTGTAAATTTTATGACAAAATGTACATTATCCTCATTGATGGGAATGAATTCTTTCCAGAGTACATACTGAAAACCTATACTGTGAAAAGATGATAGGTTGTGAATACATTAGACCAAGCTTTGCTCTCCAATGGAGCCATGCATTCCTTTCAGAGCATTTAAAGAGGGAAAAAAAAAAAATCATTCAGTGACTCATTCAACAGTTCCAACATCCTGCTGATGTTAAGTCAATATTACCAAATCCTGTCCATTGTTGACCCACAACAATCTATTCTCTTCTACACCAATTATACAGAGTAAGTTGATATTCCCAGCTTTTTAATTCATAATATTCTAATTGCATTTACCATTGAATTTTTCATCACTAACAATATTCTAATAAAATTCTCCATTCTATAAGTATAATTTAAAAGATAAACTTGCTTGTCATTTTACTGTCCTGTCAGCAAAATGAACACATGAACGACTATACAATAATGATCTTTTACACAACAAATAACTCAGGATGAAAGCTGGATACAAGACAAATTCAAGGGATGGAAATTACTTCATATATACTACATATCCTTAAACTCTTTTAGTACTGAGACCTAAAGACAGATTAAAAAGACTCACTTGCCCAACCTGATGCAAGGGATGGATGAGGTCTCCCCTTCAGTAACAGTGTAGTCTCTAAGGGGGTTTTGCTGCACACCATCACAACAAAAGTTGCACAACAGTCCTATCACTTTCAAAGAACTAGAAAGTCCTACTCAAAAACAAACAAACAAACAAACAAAAAACCTTACCTCTGAAAACCTAGGTCACTCATCACCAAGCACAGCCTTAAATCTAAAGTAGAAATTGATCCTCAAGTCCTTTGTAAACTTGTTTCCTTTCTACCTATAAAATACTCCCAATTTCCATCTTTCCACAACACTTCCAGAATTATTCAAATACCCACTGGAAGAGGCTAGTAAGTTGATTACTCACTGGTCCACCAAAAAGCACCTACCATAGGTGCAGAGTTTCCAAGAGCTGAAGAGTATTCATAGGAGAGCCTAAGACATTACATCTCCTCTCAAGAGGCTCAGAATCTATTGGAGTACAAAGGGAAGACTTACTTGCTTCACTACATCTAAGAGAGCTAAGGGCATCTTTCCAATGGTGTGGCATTCATATATTGTAAACTAAGAATCAATGAGGCATCAGACTATTTCTTACCAATCTACAATAATGGAACTAAGTCGCAGCTATTTAGTGAGTTGCCAAAAAAAAAAAAAAAAAAAAAAAAAAAAAAGTCATACACTTACCTTGGTTTTCATCTGGTCTTAAATTTGCTAAAGCAACAATGTGATGCCCTGCAGCAATGCACTGCATCATGTTGTAACAGCTGTCCTTCCCACCACTAAAAAACAAGTCAGGGGAGAGAAGGGCATGAACATCAGGCTCCGGATCACCATTAAACACAGAATCACTGAACATCAAAATCGATCACATTATAACTTTGCTTTTCAGACTCCATGAGGGATGATTTCACAACTACAGTATAATAAGACACATTTGTGAACAGGAAGAAAACTGAGCACATTAATCAAAATTTCTAAGGCTGCTACTTCTTGGAACTTACAAAATTACATGAACTTCTATACTACAATATAGAAGTTCTAAACAAGGTATATTTGTGACAGTAGTTTTATGTAAAATAATATGTAAAATAGTTTGCATGTATTAAATTACTCAAAATGATATCCTGGCTAAATGCTTATTCTATCTAGGCCTTGGATGAATGTCCTTAATTAAAAACAAAAACAAAAACAAAAAAAAAAAAAAAAAAAAAAAAAAAAAAAAAAACTAGGGTACAGAGATGGTTCAGTGGTTAAGAGCACTGGAAACTCTTCCTGAAGACCTGGCTTCAATCCCAGCACTCACATGGATGCTTACAGTGGTCTTTAAGTCCAGTTCTAGGGATCCAATATCATTGTGGCCTCCATAAGCACCAGAACAGCAAGTGTTGTGCAAATATACATGCATGCAACACACCCAAAAACATAAAGTTAAACATCATTTAATGTGTTCCACTTACAGGAAACCTCACTTTGGCTACCAATACCCATCAAAGGATGATACTAAAAATCTCAATCCAAACTGCATAACAGACTTTGATATTCTTGATTCTAAATTCTACACAGTGAAAATCCAAATGCTGACAGACCTCCATCGTCAAGCATTAACATAATCAGTGCTTTGGCAATCACTGCCAAAGTTGTAGGACTCCTCCTCCAGAGGAAGAGAATGCAAAAGAGCATATTAGAAAGCCCAGGGTCCTGAATGTGGGTGACAGTTGGTGGGGCTTGCATAGCTTATGGGGCCACTGGCAGTGGAACCAGTATTTATCCTTAGTGCACAAACTGGCTTTTTGGAGCCCATTCCCTATGGAGGGATACCTTGTTCAGCCTAGATACAGGAGGAGGGCCTCAATCATGCCCCAAATGATGTGACAGATTTTGATGATCCCTCATGGGAGGCCTCACCCCCTTTGAGGAGTGGAGGGGGGGTGATGATGGGGACAGGGAGAGGGCACTGGGATTGGTATGTAAAATAAGATTGTTTTAAATTTTTAAAAAAAGGTCTAGGGTCCTTCTTTTCACATGTGTTCCATGACTTTCTTTTTCAGATCCTATAACTGTGTTTCAGATCCTATAACTGTGTTTCCCTTAAACAAGAAACAAACAACAAATAAAATTATATAATATATTAAAGATTCAAGGGTGAACATCCACAATCATTACTTAGCTTTGTGCTTTAAAATATGTCAAGCCTTTAAACAGGGTTTCAAAGTATTTCCCAAGCAGTGTTCTGTAGAACATGGGGCATTCAAAGAACAAGTAGCTTTCAAGGACAAAGAACCTAATGAATGCTGACAACTCTCCTCTCCTCTTAGAACTCCATAAGTATCTAAGTACGGTCAGTCCCTCTGTCAACCCTCCATAGCAGTAGGTTTCACATCTATGAATTCAGACAATTGTAATAAAGGAAATATTTCAGGGGACGACACTTGTACTGAACATGTACATTTTTATAAAAATTAATTCAGTAAGAGGTACAATGTAACAGTTGTTAACATTGCATTTTATTATACAGGTGTCATGTCATCTTAAGATAGATTAAAACTTATGGTGGGGGGGATCAATATAGGTTCTATCTATCATTTTATACAGAGGACTTTGTAACTGAAGATATGGCCTGGTGGTCCTGAAAGCACCCATAAATACCTGAGCACACTGTCACCTGATCAGTCCTGCAGAACAGATTTTTGCTTTCCAAATCTAGGAACAAGCTAAGGCACAATGCATTTGGTCTTATATGTCCCACATACACTTAAAATTCCTGACTAGATAGTCTTCAAGCTTACATTCAACAGTGAAATTCTGTGAGCTACTTAAGCACTCGATCTAATAATATACAAGAATGTGTTTCATTTTGTCCTGAAATATACTTCATACCCAATCAATTGTTGTACACATTCACATACACACATACATGTACACAATGCAAATAGACTTATCACAATGAAGCTTAAATGTATATTTAGTGTTATACATAATTATATAGAATATGGATTCCTAATATACAGTACACACAAACAGCTCTATTTCCTAATGTACAGTTCTTTCAAACAGCACTTCATTAGGGAACAGGCCATACTGACCTTTTCTCCTTACCAGTTTCACTTGTTCTACCACTCAGTTGTGACCTAAATTCCTGGCCTACTTTTAACTTTTATCTCCCTTCACCAAATAATCCTAATGGTTAAAACTTCATTATTCCCTTTATGGGAATACATTACAGTGGCATTGCAATAAAATTTCCTTTAAAAGGCTTGGAATTAACAGAACTGGCATTTTTCTGTCACTACAGCTTATCAAGAGTCTTACAAAACATTGTCAATTAGCATCAGTTACCTAGGGGTATTAAACACAAACATTTATGTATGCTTCATTGTGCTAACCAAAAAAAGACTGAAGCGACATAATGGAACTTACACTTTACTTAGGTCTAAATCTCAAGAAACGAAATATTTAAACATGTCTCTAGCATTGCTGGTATTTCTGTAATCATTTTCAGGTACAGAAACTGAAACAGATCCGGTGTGTTTTGTTTATGAGCTACAATATCCTAACTTCTAAGTAAGTTACTATGGATTTGAAACCACTTTTGGATTATGACTTAGGTAGCCCAAGGTCAATAAGGCAAATTCCTTTTTATTCAATGCAAGTTCAATCACATCTAGCTTGATGTGCACAGCTTCAACTCCATGCAGAGGGCATCTACCAGTAGGTGTCACAGTGCAGGTGTTTAACACGTATGGGCAAAGCAACCTCAAGCCATTTGGGGATCCTAAGGCTATCCCTGGCAAGCTAGGGGTGTGGGATGTGAGATGAGTGAGGTAGATTTCAGGAGAGGTCAGGCCAGGGATAGCCCGAGAAAGATCTCCAAGACTAAAGGGAACTATACAGGATGAGAAACTGGAAACAAGTAAGTGGAATTAACAGCGGCTCTTGGGAGAGTCCACAGGGATTAGAGTCCAACAGGTGTGATGAGCATGCGCCCACGGCTGAGGACTCAGCACTCCGTGCTGCTCGGCTTTGCCACGGGAGCCAGAGAGGAAGCACACGTGCCTGGGCCCAGTGAGCCCGAGCTGCGGATCGCCCCGCCTCTTCCGGTGGCCGGGGCGCCGGTCCGCCCACGCGGCCTCCCCCAGAAGCCGTTCCCGAGGCGCCCACAGCGGCCGCGTCAGGACCCAGCCTTGCCCGGAAGGAGGGAGATGGGCCCGCTCCTCTTTACCTGATCAGCCCCGCGACCCTCATGCTGGGTGCAGTGCGCGTGCGTGCGGCAGCGGCGGACGGCAGACCACGGCAGGCCCGTAGCGGACCCACTGACGCGCGCGGGTCCTCGGGCGGGTGTCTGCTGCGCTGCCTGTCCGCGACCATCCCGACTCCCCTTCAGCACCTTGATGAACTCCCGGGCGCACAGTCTCAGCACCTATTACCTGCTGCATGAATATACTGGCCCAGGGCAGGGGGTGAGGGGTAGGAGTTCGGGGGGGGGGTGCGGAGTTTAGGCACAACTTAACCACCTAAGTATGGGCAGTGAAGTTGCCAGGGGAAGGGCAAGGTCCTTGTTAAACCGGTTAAGGGTGCTGTTTTTTTTGTTTGTTTGTTTGTTTTGTTTTTTGTTTTTTGTTTTTCTGGGAAATAAATTCAAAGTAAAGTTGCAAGAGCTGAGGTTTGAAACACTGCCCTGGTAAGGGGACTTAGCTCCTCTTTCTTCAGCAACCCTAGAAACCATTAATACCTGAACACTTTTTAACTCTGAGACTTCCATCTCTGCCCTGTGAACTGGTGAGGCTACATGACCTAGACTTCCTGTACTGTCTTAGCATTTTCCCAATACAGAAACTAATAAACGCACACTTCGTAAACCAGGAAGAAATTCTAATTTCAAATACATTTTTCAGTACTTGCTCTGTGTCTTGAATATAGTATTCAATGTTTGGATCTTCTGGGAACAAATGGTGCTACAACAGACCAACCTCCCTACCTACACCCCTGATCAGGGAGTTTGTAGACACGAAGAAAGAAGGTGATGCACTGTACAGTTTAAAGGGGGATCGTATGTTAAAGAGTGGAAAATACTGTACAAACACACACACACACAGAAGGGGAAGAGAACTCCCCCAATCCATCTTCCCAAATAGAACCATTTTGAATTAATCTCCGTTTATGCTTTCAAATTTTAATTTGGCTCTTTTAATTGGATTTTAATTGAAGACTGGTGTAAGGACATGACTTTGGGCCCAGGTTATAAACATCAAGTGAGTAGCAGAAGAGTAAAGCAGATTAGTGTAACTGGGAACGACCAGAGAGTAATGGAAGATGAAGTCAGGTGGTGAAGAGAAAAGATCGTTTCAGATTTATAACAGAGGTATGACCGAAGTTTCTGTAAGAACTACAGGGTTTAAAACACATCGATTAGAAAAGAAACCTATTTTAATGATCCAAGAGAGATGATGAGACATAAAAACAACATGAAGGGTTTGATGAGAAATGTAGAGTGCAGTTCTGTTTTAAAAACAGAGCCAATATAATTGAACAGACAGATATGGGGTTCTAAAGAAAGCCATGAGAAATGATAACAATGTCATGAACTAAAGTTTAAGATACTTTAATTGTGTCAAATATACAAAAGCATTCAGTTTTGCCATACCACAATGCTTTATTAGCCACAAAGAGTTACTATGGGTCACTAGGGCATTGATAATTTGTATATGACTATCAGTATCAAAAAAATCACGTGTGTGAAAATTCTGTGATTGTTAAGAACTAACCAAATCAGTTAAATGTTTGAGATATTGGTATATGGTAACAGATAAAACATACAAATTAAACAAACATTCATAGTATAGTATATCAAATTTTGCAAGTAACAATTTATGTGATGCATATGACAAGATCATTGGGAGTTGAGCTCATTGAACTGAAAAGTAGTTAGAACAGGTTAGGACTTGAAAGATAAGTACGTAGAAGCAGGTATATCTTCAAACAAGGGCATCAAGAGGTTAGCCTTGCCAGTAGAGAGATTATGTTGATGAGAGGGGAAGATAATTTGCATGGTCAGTGTAATGCTTGGTTACCTAAGGTCAAGAAAAGTCACTAAGAAAAACTGCAATATCAGGGAATGTGCCCTAGCTGTTTATCATTATTTTTAGAAGGTTGTGTGAATTATCAGTAATTAACATGCTGAAGTTTGATTAAATAAATGTAAAATTCCCTCAGACTCCTTTTATATTTTCTAGTATTAAGAAAAAAAAATATCCTTGCCACTTTTCAAGAGGGATGAGAAAACAACTTTCTCTCCTTAAAACTACATATTAAGGATTATGTTTTGTTTCCCTCTGTTAGCCTCATGGTATGATAGCCTTAACAAAAGTATTTACCTATAAATGAGGATTAGCTATAAATAACGGGAAAATATGTTGACAGTATTTACCAAGGTCAGCCAGTTTTTCCAGGCTCCCACAGATTCTTCCTACCACTTTTATATTATCCTTTGTATTGTACGTTCCACCCCTTGAAATTTTTTTCTCTCAAAATTTCCAACCAATGATTTTTCAATTAACAAAATTCCCTGGTTGGTTTAGTATACAGGTGCTAAATATTTTGTCTCTTCTTAGAAGCCTCTAAGCCAAAGTTGTCCATTACATGAACTGCAAATTGAGCTACAATGGCTTAGCTGTAGTATCTCATTTTCACTTACTCTTTAACAACAGTGCAGGGAAGTTTTATCTGGTGCAGTCATTGTAGTGGATCTAAAAAAATACAACAGCCAGAGAATTTCAAACCGTTCATTAGAATAGCGGTGACATAGATCTTCCACGATATCTGTGATCTTGTATTTTTCTATGGCATGAACATGAAGGCTAACTGGAGAAGTTCCAGTCCTTGATATGCAGTTAACCTTGTGCTACTGGTATCTGTGCTGTTCTCTATCCACTCCACATTCCCCTCAGCCTCAGCAATCACCTAAGCCTATCTTTCTTACTGGTTTCCCTGCCATTCCTAATGGGTCTCTGCCATTATGCATTAGATTATTTTTGGTCTTGGTCTGCTGCTTGTGTGTCATTTCACAGGTAAAATTAAACAAGGGCACAAATGGATCACTTGAGTTCCACATCTAGGTGACTTTATCCCCAGTGCACTGAAAAACCTCATTCCTCCACATAATCAGTTACTCCAGTTTGATGGTCCTTACACACAGGGCACTTAAAGTGGCTATGTATTTTGAAATTTAGTGAATCCTTGCACAGCCCTCTATGAAGACAAAGACCTACAAATACTTTTTTTGGCTGAACTTGTAAGAGGCAAAGAAGAAAGTTTCCATTAGGTCCTTGCCCAATGTTACTTTCAAACTTTAGTTCCCAGATACATGTTTTCCTCCTAATGAGTGTGATATATACAGATCTCCGATTTATCACTTATGCCCATATCCTGAGTCATGACCAGGCACCCTTGCAGATTCTTGTCTGAGCTACTAATTTACATGTGACTTCAGTTAACTAGCTTCATCTGAACAGCACAATATGTACTACTTAGATACTGGGCACCTGGCCCAATTTTGTACTTACTTTTCTGTGAAGTGATTTTTTTGGTGGGTGGGATACTCTGTTTAGTGGGATTCCATGTGTACAATGGATCTCTGCCAATGATACCATGTGGAGAGGTGTAGACAGAGCAACAATAGGTTTTTAGACATTTATTAATCCTGGTCAAAGATTAGGAGAAGCTTGAAAGCATGGCCTGTATGAATTCTGTGATTAACCCAAAGATTGTCATCTGGTGGCTATCACCTGTGGTTTTAATAAACTGATATTAAAATAACTATTGAGCTCATCTTCTGCATGCCTGCCACAATGAAACAGAATGGTTCCTCAAATCACATGAGAAGGAGCAGGAAATTTAGACTCTCACGTTGTGCTCTAATCCAGCAAGAAACATATAGAGAAGAGTTTATTCAAAGCAAAAATAGCATTTGAAGGAGAGCCAACCTAAATTTGAGAACGTCTAACTTAAAAACAACAGTATTTTCAAGGAAATGCTTTAGTTTACTTCCAAACACATGTACTAATGTTGATCAAACTAACATACTAATAGTAGATCCTGGCAAAGTGTTTCTTAAAACTCTCATAAGTTAATAGGAAAAACGTGTTTTTAACTACTATCCATTTGCCTGTACATAATTTGCTCAAATTTCAAGAACACTTGATTTAGCAAAAGCCCTATATGCATAGTTTTCTACACAGATGCCATAAAGATAACTTCAATTCAGTAACTGTCAACAAGTTAAAAGGTTTCCTTTCAGTATAGCAACTTTTATTTTGTAATTCACTGAACTGTTTTCCCCAAGATCCACCTTCAAACACATTGTGAGCTCATGTTCTATAGTCTAAAACTATTACATACAAATGCATACTGCTTAGCTCATAGGGCCAACAAAACAGGTGAAAAGAAAACTTGCCTCAAAAAGCTCAGTCCTTTGCCAGTTTACTTAAGGAAACTCTCCACAGCCAAACACTGTTGCCGGTAATAAAAGCTTGCAAGCTGTCACTGAATTCTGCTTCCTTGGCAGTATGTTTCACTGATGTACTGATTGATAAAGATTCAGATAATCACATCAAGAAATGCTACAGGTAGTTCTTCCTTAGAAGCTCAGAAAGGATTTATGTCCATCTTTCCTAAAATATCAAACAGGAAGTCATGAGAATGATGCCTCATGAATAATTATTTTTAAGGCCAACTAATGGGTTGGAGGCAGAGCACTTGCATAGCATGTATAAGAACCAGAGGTCAATTCTCAGCACCCAGTAGAAAAGAAATGAAATAATTATGTGGAGTTTAAATTTAAAAAATACACAAGTAAGTGTAAGTAATTATATTATCTGCTATATTATTTATATTATAAATGCTTATGTACACATGTGTGTTATAGTTTACTGTGGGCCAGCACTCATTTAAACCTCATACAACACTTATGGACTCAGACCCACTGTTAATAAGTGTCAAAATCAAGATCTAAATCCAGATTGGATAGCCCTTGACTACCTACTATAATTTTCCATTCTAATGGCCAGCTGGTTACTTGCCTAATATCTATATGTTCTGTGATGTATATGTGGACATGCAGTGTCATCATTGACCTCCAAAGTCTTTCCTATTTCCATGTTTCAAATAAGCCAACCCTTTTTGGTAACAGACACGGATTTTTATATTACATAAACTATTGTGTTATATAAACTATTGTATTATATTAGAATGTATATGATACCTACTAGGCACTAAACATGGCTAATTCTGGTATAGAATACTCTCAAGCAATCACCCCCTCCCTAGATGT